TGAAAGCAATAATGGCAAACACTAACCTAGCATTCATTACTGTCAGGCACTGTTCTAACACATTTAATCCTCACAGCAACCCTAAATAGGGACATACCACGATTGTCTCCATTTTACACATGGGGAAATGTAGGCACAGAAGTTGAATAATTTACCCAGAAACGAACAGCTCATAAGGGGGCCAAATCAGGATTTGAACCCAAGCTCTCATATCTCTTTCTTAATAGTTAATATAAATGTGTGTCTGTTAATCTAAATGTATGTCTCTCTCTGTGTATGTCTGTGTGTGTGCATGTTGAGCCTTCTTACATTTCACAGTGTCTTCTCTAAAGATGATCCCACACTATTTCTTGTTATTGATTGCTTTTCATTGTGTCGTGTTCCCCTAGGAGAGATGCATTCATTATCTTGATGTGTTTATTTTTCAGCTGAGGCGAAGGTGACTGGTCCCAGGAGTCCGGAAGAATGGACTCAGAGGAGGCTGTTTTCATGAGGTTCTCCCACTCACCAGCTGTTGAGAGTCTATGGATGAAGAGCAGGATCTTATTACTTCAGTGGAAGCCTGTGACCATGATCCCAGCCACCAGTAGCCAAGAGGACTTGGTAGAGTGCGGCTGCCTAATAAATGATTCATCAGAAGCATTTGATACAAATGTGTTGCAGCAGCGTCTTGAAATTGAGTGTTGCCTTCTTATCTAGGCTTGTGTTTGTTCAGAGATCCCCACTGCCTCTCACTTCCATGCCAGTACTGACCTGAAGGCTGGGTCCACAGTGGATTCTCATGCAGGCGGGCTCTGTTTGGCTGCTATTTATAAAGCCGGTGTGGGTTAGTAACTATTTATTGAGTGCCAGTTCCATGCCAATTGTTACTGCTTTACAAACACTTAATCCTCATGCAAACCCTGTTGCCTGAGGTTGTACCTATTATTTCCATTCTGCCCTCGAGCAAATGGAGGCTCAGAGAGGTTGTGCGCTATGTACAAAGTCACACAGTTGGCAGAGTCAGGGCTCAAATTGAGAGAAGTCTAAAGCCCCTTCACTTTAACACGCTGCTTTTCTGCACTGCTCCAGAGATCACTAGTGCTGCCCCCACTCCATGTTCTTACTGGCATTCTTCTCATAAATAAGGTGAGGATGGCCGAGTGAATGATGGCAAGTGTCTGAGAGAGAGGGTCCGGAGGCTTTAGAGGCACTGAAGAATCACAGAAGTGTTCTCTAGGAAAAATAACACAATGCTCTTTTAGATCAGAGGTTGATAAACTATGCCTGGTGAGTCAAATCGGCTCCCAACCTCTTGTAGCAAATCGAGTTTTATGGGAACACAGACACGCCCAATCCTTTCTGTACTGCCCAAGGCTGGTTACTCTCTACAGTCAGAGTTCCATAGCTATGACAGAGGCCATATGGCCCGTGAAGCCTAAAACACTGATTCTCTGGGCCTTTCTAGAAAAAGTTTGCTGACACCTGTTTTACATGATGAGGAAGAGAGCCAGTAGTTCTTGTTAGTGCCAATTTATTATTTTTTTCCCATTTGACTGAAAAACAAAGATTTGTACTGCTAAGGTCATCACTGGCGGTGGTTGGAGTTGAGGAGAGGGTTGATGGCTATAGGGACCGAACCAGGGAAGGACAAGGGTCAGGGAGGAGAAGGCTGGTCTGGGCCTCTGGGTCCCCACTCAACTCCTCAGCCCAGACTCTCCCCACTCATGTCTCTCCTATTTCACCTGCCAAAGCAAGTTTCCTGAAATAACTCTGCTCGGAAACTTTTAAGTTGCTTCCCACTTATAAAATACTCAAATTCCAACACCCCAACCTGGAATTTAGAGATCATAACAATCTGACCCCTATGAATCCCTCTCTCCATCCCTTTTATTCTTTTTTTAATCATGAGCCAGTCATGCCAAATTTGAGTTTATATTTCAAAGCCAGTGAACTTGTCCTTGATTCACTTTTATATAAGCAGAAAAGTAAACATATACTCCTTATGGGTGATAATGGGAAACCAGGCTGAGTTTTCATACGTGACGTGATTCACCTAAGCTAAAAGTTATAAACAAGAATTTATGAATGTTTCAGTTATCAATATTTTTCTACAAAAGACATTATCCAGTTGTTTAGAAAAAATATTCCAACTAAGGTTTTGTTTTTAAATTGTATTATCATAAACTGTCTCCCACATTGCTGTGCATTTTTCACAAAGATAATTTTTCATGGCTGCAGAATATTTCATCTCTTAAATGTTCCTGAGCTTTCATAATGTTGCACACGTATTTGGGCATTGAAGGGTGCTGTTTCCATTTGTTTTAACTCCTATCTCCATACTGTCCAGTTGTTCTCATAATTTTTCACCTTTGCTGAGGCTGTTTCCTTAGCTTGGGAAGGATCCTCATCCTTTCCTGTCTGCTTAAGTCTTAACCTTACAGCTTAAGTCCTGTCACCTTCTGTCTTCGATCTCCTGTGGCCAGGGGAGAGTTCAGCTTGACCTTCAGAATGAGGGATGGATTTCAAGAGACTCATGTTTCTAGAAAATGCTGACATAGTACCATCTGAACTTGACGGCAATGGCACTGGCAGTGTCAAAGGGCTCAGAAACCTCAGAAACCCTTATTTCCTGGTGCTGTACTCAGGAGAATGGTTTATTGCAGAAAAGAATAATAGTGGACATATATTATGTGCTTTCTATATGTCAGGCATTATTGTAAGCACTTTATATACATTGTAATTTCTCTTCATGACAACCCTTTCAGTTGGGTACTGTTATTACCCTCATTGTTCAAATACGAACATTGGGGTACAGACAGGCTAAGAAACCACCCAAGGGCATACCACTGGTAAGTGGGAAACTCGGCATTGACTGACTGGCACCAGACAGTCTGGTATCAGAGTCTGGGTCCTTAGCCAATGAAATACAAGTGCTGCCAACTCACCAGGGCCCTTTCTCTCTAGTCTCAATCACCCAGGCTCAATCAGGTCCACAGCCATCTTCAGAGTACATGCAGAGGGAGGGGGCTGCTCTTACTAGGAGCAGTGAGCCTGTTCCTCTGTGTTGGAGAGACCGGGCTGGGGGCTAGCACCCATTCACAAAGAGAAGGTCAACAGTCAGGTAAGCTTACTGAGTCCTTGGTCATCCTCTGAACATGATAGTTCAGTTCAGTTCTATTCAGTTGCTCAGTCGTGAACCACAGCATGCCAGGCCTCCCTGTCCATCACCAACTCCTGAAGTCCACCCAAACCCATGTCCATTGTGTTGGTGATGTCATCCAACCATCTCATCCTCTATCGTCCCCTTCTCCTCCTGCCCCAATCTTTCCCAGCATCAGGGTCTTTTCAAATGAGTCAGCTCTCCATATCAGGTGGCCAAAGTATTGGAGTTTCAGCTTCAACATCAGTCCCTCCAATGAACACCCAGGACTGATCTCCTTTAGGATGGACTGGTTGGATCTCCTTGCAGTTCAAGGGACTATCAAGAGTCTTCTCCAACACCACAGTTCAAAAGCATCAATTCTTCGGCGCTCAGCTTTCTTTATAGTCCAACTCTCACATCCATACATGACTACTGGAAAAACCATAGCCTTGACTAGACAGACCTTGGTTGGCAAAGTAATGTTTCTGCTTTTTAATATGCTGTCTAGGTTGGTCATAACTTT